ATGCCTCATTCTGCTTTTAATGATATAGAGATTTCTGTTGTATTCTTCAAGGGAAAATGTCCTTGGGACCTAGCCGCGTAATACAGATGATTGTCCTCAACGAAGTAAAAGAGATGCATATTCAGCTGTTCTCGCACACACTCTTCCTAAAGAAAAATAATTCGCTGTCGCCTCTTTGATTCCGCTACCCAAAATCCATTAAACAGCACATCTTAAGAAGAAGCTGTTTCTCTTTCCCCTTTACATCCTCCCTTCAGGGGCCCTGAAGAGAATACAGCGTCTGAGACATTCCTTTTTTCTATTTTTCATTCCTGGTACCTTACCTGCCCTGTTAAACTAGTTTGAAGTGAAAGCAATAGTTCATCCAGAAAAGCAGATTCTGAGGTATTTTACTCGCTTTTATGTCTTTTGAAACTTGCTTTTTACATCTGTGCAACACAAAAGGAGACGTTTAGCAGAATGTTCATGCTATTCTGTTCTATAAAAAAGTGAATGGCTATCATGCAGGATTTACTTTGCTTTACTGTAAAAAAAAACAAAAAATTTTTTTTACAAGTGTTTTTCATTTAATTACGGTTGTAAATTGCATTACGGGAACTTGATCTTTGCTCTGTCGACTTGACATTGATAACTCACACTTTTATTGACATTTTAGTAGTTTGAAATGATATTTTATATCCTCCTGAGACCCTAATCTTTTTTTCTTTTTTTCTGTGATTTCCTACATCCTTTGGGTTAAAAAAAACTACTATTTAGAGTTTTTACATTTTGTTTTTATTTTTAATTTTACAGCATGTCCACTGTAGTAGACCACAGGACCATTTTAGTTCGAAACGACCACCACTCAGACACCAAAACTGTACAGGATATGGCTGTAAAGGGATATTAATCCAATATTAATGTAACAAAAACAAAATAAATTTTTTTTCCTTTTGTATTGAAATTCCTGAAACAGTTTAGTCTGAAAGAGAGCTGAACTTAAAAAAAAGAAAAAAAGAAAAGAAAGAAGTGATGTTAATCCAAAACAAATTTAACATAAAAGCAATTTAAAACTGATTGCCATTATCTAATTGTCTCTAATTCTTTAATTGTCTGATTGTCAGACTGTAAGTCAGAGTCTCCCTTAACTATTTTATAAAGAATCCTCTCTGCTTCAGTTCTGCCCCCTACAACATGCAGTCATTAATTACATTAAGATGGTCCTGGTGTCAATAGTGGACATTTAAAAAAGTGATATTTTGAAACACAAACAAGTTAACAGCTTTAAAAGCTAAATGTATTGCTCCTGACACTTTAATAAACAAATATATATGTAATAATTATAGTAAAAAACATTTAAAAAGCTAAATTTTACAAACCTCTCTCCTTCCCATAAAATGTGTTTGTTTGTATGCCGGCCATTTTGAATGCAGTGTAAGAAGTGGTTCCTAGCATCCCAGCCAATCAAATGACATATCCCTAGAAAGCCCAGGATGTCCTCTGAACAGTACAACAGGCAGAGACTTGGCAGAGTAGCTAAAAAAAATTCAAAGAAAATTCATGAAAACACAATGTCCACTGCAGGACACAAGTCAGTGGGCGGGGTCTCAGGAGGATATAATAAATAATACATAGAAAAATAATAGTTTTTTTTTACCATAGAAGGTTTTTTTTTTTTTTACCATAGAATACAACACCAACCCAAACAATATATCACTTTAACTATTAAAAAATTATTAAAAGTCATGTTTTTGATCTTTTCAAGGTTAAAAGTGGTCCACATGGTTAATCAGCTATAGAACACATAAGGCTGTGGCTGGAAGTTATCAAGAATTTTTTGTATTATTTATTAAATTTCCCATTAATTGTATTTTATTAACGTCTAACCCAACCACAACCCTAAACCCAGCCATCATTGTAATGTAAAAACAGATCTGGAGTCTTCTCTATTAGTATAGCTCAAACAGTTGTCAAATCCAGTTTCTGGAGAGCCGCAGCTCTGCACAGTTTAGTTCCAACCCTAATTTAACTCACCTGATTAAACTTATTAAGTCCTTTGGTTCTGTTTAAAACCTACAGGTAAGTGTGCTGAAGCAGGGTTGAAACTAAACTGGCAAAACTGCGGCCCTCCAGGAACTGCATTTGACTCCAGTGGAATAGCTGATTAACTTTGTGGATGGATAATAACAGGCTTCTGAACCTATACTACAAAAAAAAATTTGGGCTGTTTGATTAAGCTACTTATATAAAATGAGTTGAAACAACATGATCCTTCAGTTTTTTGGAGCGACAACATAATTGATTTGTGTTCAATCCACTTAAATTTGTAAAAACGATTAAGTTAACTGAATTGATTTGTGTTGAGATGACATGAAGGAATTGTGTGGAGTTTATACAGTGTACTGGGTGCAGAAGGCCCTTACTAGCCCATATCCATCCGCTGATAACCACTGATAACGCCCATTCAATCGAGTGATAACATTTGAAGGTGTTATTTACAGTATATGGTGTTTGGGATTGCTTTGTGGACTAAGTGAAAACTGTCAACCCCAAAAAAAACTATGTGGGTTCATTTTGTACATTTTATCACTATAGTACAATGATATGTATATGACAATAATTTTTTACAATAAATCAAAATTGATCTGTATTGTGCTGCAATAAAGGCACCGCTGTTTTTTTTTTTTTATTCTTTTTGTTTTGAATAATGATTTCTGTCACTGCCAGAAATGACAGATAAGCCTCCACTTTAAAGATGTTTGATTTAAAAATTTACTGTATATCACTGCAACATTTAAGCACTGTTTAGACAGTGACAAATGTTTGGTGTCCCCCAAAGTCCTCAGAGGCTGTAATCAGATTCATTGTGCACTTGTCTATTTAATCAGTAGTGCTGTAGTAATCAGTACTGAGCAATCAGCCTGTTAATTAGTAGTGTTGGGATTATGATTCTAACTTCACAACAACAGTTCTTCACAAAGTAGGTCACTTCTTCGACTCCTGACACTTCAGTCCCAAGAAAAGGGATGATTAACAAGAAAACAAGAATATTTATTGTACTAGAATTTAACTACACTAATATACACAAATAAAGCAATCACATATACACTTTTTTTAATCATTGTTGCTAATTCTATGATGTTGCGTTTGCTAGTATGAGAGCCAAACCCACAGCTTAAGATGATGACCGAATGGCATGTCATCAAAATTGTATTCATGCTGCAAGAGCATTGAGTCTTGGAAGTAAAAATACCATTCATTTTTATATTAAGGAATGTAATGTATAACAACTCATTCTTTTCAAGATATACCTGTTGAAATCTGCAAGGATGTTAATTCTTTGTAGGGGTGTAATCATACACATATTTGTAATAGGGCTGCACAATGTATCATTTTAGCATTGAAATCGCAATGTAATCATTCGCTATAGCCACATCGCAGGATATGCAATGTATAAATTTGTATTATAATTTATTATTTGCATGTGTTTTTGATGCCTGTGACTGTATAATGATTTTAAAAGCATTCAGGTATAAGAAATCGTACCATTTGTGACCTTAACTACGGTTAATTTTATATTTTATATTTAATACTGTTTGACTTGGAAAAGGATAAAACACTTTGTTTTGTTATGCATGAAAACACTTAACACATGCAAATACAAAAATGCACTGCAATTAGCAAAGACAGCAAGAAAAATGTGTTGAGGGACCCAAAATGTGTATAGACTGTTACATTTTATGCAAATAGTAAACATTAGTTCATGAATCTCTGACTAAACACATGTATAATGTATAAAAAAAAAATTCACAACACATTCAAATACAGAAATGCACTGCAAATAGCACAAACAACAACGAAAATGTGTGGGGGACCCCAAACATTTTACAGATTGTTTATTAGATTTTATGAAGATGCATTCCTGCTGCAGAATCATCCTAATTGATCTAACTTTTTTAATTCTTTCCAAATAGTGATAATAAGTAATCTGGTGAAATTGTATTTATATCACAACATGTGTAGCAAAATAAGAAATATTGCAATGTGAGATTTTTCCAATATCGTGCAGCCCTAATTTGTATTGATCTATTTGATATAAAGCTTTGATTTCGGTATGCATTACAAACCGACCGATTTGCTGCAGTTCAAATAAATATTTGTAAAATAAAGAACCTAAAGTGTGTGAAGAATAATAATAGCGATGAGTTCTTTGCAACGGCTAATAACATTGCAGTAACCAGAACATAAGGATTTGCTTGGGAATGGGTTTTTGCACAGCTGAAAACACCAGCACTCTTCCAAAACTGCTCAACTGTGAACACCTGAATGCCACTCATTCTCCAACTACTGCCACCTTTACAGAAAACTAATCTGAAATCTAATCTGAAGAATGTAAACATTGAATAATTCCTATCTCTGCTTTAGTTAGTAAGCTTTAGTCCTATTCACTATTTCTTAATTTTAGCCAAAATTCCTGACTGTGTCTGCAACCTGTTTTCCACTGCAGGTAACATTGTAAGTACACATATTTGCACTTGGTTAAAACTACTACAATAATAAAATTTTTTATTAGTTGTTTTTGTTTTATATGCTTCTAAGAATACACTCCAGAAGATGGATCTAGTATAGCTCAATCTATCATTGTTGAAAGTATAAAGAAAAGTAAACATCATGCTTTATGATCTTAGTTTTAATGAATAAAAAAAAAGCCAAAGACAATTACTTGTTTCGCCGTCCCAAAAACCTACCAATGTGTTACACCACTGAACTGTGATTTTTGTGAACCGTTATGCCCATAATCATTTGTATATGCATGTGTTAAACCTTTCTGTTTGCATCTATTTAATCTTATTTTTATTATTGTATTCAATCGTGTAATTTGTTGGAAAACATTACCTATAATGGTGTACAGAGAAGTCCACAAATCAGCATTACAATAAGCATAACAAGCTAAATTAACTTTTTTTTTATCTAAACACACTGCGATAACGAAAAATTTTCTCTCTCTTTATGTATATCAGGAAGTCCTTTTAAAACTCTCTTCTGGGACAAATGAAGGTGAGTAGGGACTAATGCACTCTATGTAGCACATATTTTTTCAATAGCTATACAACAAGTTTTAAACCAAATGGAGTTTCTATTACACGGTTGTTGTTTCAGTCTTATTATAGACAGTGTAAAAATGCACACTACTTCAGACTATGTTTGATGCTCACTGAAGAAAATAATGCTGTCACAAACTCTGTATTCATCAGGTGTCATGTCAGTATCTGTGCACAGCTGTGTGTGCTTGCGTGTCGGGCAGATGGTGGGGCTGGACCGGAGGGAGCTGCTTTGTGACCCACAGGTGGCTGTTCACTGGATGTGACTTGCTAAAAAGCAGACTAACACCTGCAGAAGACTTGGAGTTGAAAGAGGAAAGAGATAATCAGTGATGAACACACTCTCATACAGAGAGGAAGATAGAGGGTAAGGGTTAAAATGGGATGCAACTATTTTTTCCACTAATATTTTTATCTTTTGACTGTATATCTCTCACATATGCCTCACATACTGTATGGGTGGGGAATTTTATCTCAGTGGACACAATTAGTCTCATTGTGAGTCAAATAACTTAATAAGGATATACAGTATATAGCAAATGAATGCTGTTCTGCAAGATGCAGTTTTATACATCTAGTCCAACGGATGTTTCTGGAGACCGCGAAATCTGTCCCGGGAGGTACGTACGGCTGCATTTCATTTTTTTAAGCGAATGCTACGGGGCGGTGTGACGCCGTTGACTTTCGCGCTTGCCGGCTGACCACTTACCTCCGTGTGGAGGGCTTTCCCGCTGCAGTCAGTTTGTCCAGTCAGCTCACCGTGTGCGTCGGTGGACTTCAGATGCAGAGAGGATGAGTTGACAAAGGCGTCCGGGTTCGAGTCCGAGGAAGGGTGGTTCCAGAAACCAGGTAAGACAAAAACAGAATCCAAAAAATAAAGCGAACGAGTTCATAACAGGGTGTAAACGCGGGGAAATCCGAAAAACAGACGAGGGTTTTTCTTTTTCTAGACGGCTTTTCTAAATTGTTGCTCGGGTTAAGGGAAGTGAGCGGGCGGGCTGGTCAATCGGTAAAACTGGTTGGGTTCAGGGAAGGAGGAGGGTGGGTCAGCCGATTGGCCGGTCGCGCAATCAATCATTCGGTCGGTCAGACAGCGGCCTCTGGTGGGTTGACGCGAGAACATCGCTGGCGCGAAAGGCACTCGCGAGAGACGCTCGAGATACGAAAAAGCGCGCACAGCGGCCTCTCGCGGATTCGCGAAAACCAAAACTTCACAAATACGTACCTCCCGGGACGTATTTTGCGGTCTCAAGAAACGTCCGCTGGACTACGTTTTCAGAATGAGCCTGGGTTGGAAGTTGCATATTGTATATATTTTTTAATCTTGAAAAGATTATGATACTGACCCACTGTGACATATAGGGGAAAATTCACTAATTGCAAGAAGGACATTTTACAGGGGTAAGTCATAAAGAAATTAAGTTTAAAATTAGTTTTTTTTTTCTTCTGTTGATCACAGATATTTCAAAAATGGTCAAATTGACATTGACAGCCAAAATAGGAAAAAAAAAAATCTATATATAAGTCACTGGCTACTAGTTTCCAGCATTCTTTTATAGTGTTTAACTGTAAGAAAACATTACTATCCATTAAAGTCCTCTATAAGACAATGTTTGGGAGAATGCTCTTCAAATTGGAGAACAGTGTTGATATTCAGTGTACAAAATTGAGTTTTGTAAAGCATTGTGGAAAGTTGTAGAGAGTTACAGGGAAATTATGCTGACAAAAAATTCAGCAAAAAATGTTTGGTTGTTCATAGCGTAGCTATGTGTGAGGCACAAATTTCAGTAAAGTCACTTAAACCAGGCTTGGTGAAGTGTCGGACTGGCCATCTGGAGCCATAGATATATACATATATCTATGATCGGGAGTTTTCCCGTTGGTCAGTATGCACATATATATTTTTTTTAATTATGAAGATTATAAGCATATGCATGTGTTTGTGTGCATGCAAAATGTTTTCTATGCTCCCTGTTAAATGTGATCTACTATCCAGAAACATACTCCTGCTTTCACTTCTAATTCTAACGGAGGGAGCGATTTGTTTGTGAATGAATATCTATTATGAAAGATAAGTGTGAACCAACAATATCCCTGCATCTCAATGTCCAAATCCACCTTTCTGATCTAAATTGTATATAACATTTTTAATATTCATAATTTAGGCAAAATTGCAAAGTATGCACATTGAGGTAAAGGCACTGTTGTCATTGGGCACCTTAAGTTACTTTAGAAATAAACTAACGTTCACTTAGCTGACAATAATGCTAGTTTCTGGCATCAGCGTCTTGTTGTCATATTTCATTTACATTGTTTGCTGATTTAAGCTTAGTGTTTAGTGCAAGTTGGTGCTACTTTTCATTATGGTCAGTGCAGCAAGTGACTGCATTATCATCAATAACACGTCTTTAGCACAAAAGTAGCATACAAAATCATAATTCATAGTTCATAGTTCACACTTACAGATGTTTAAGAATAAAGCGTATTTGGCGTGCTGTCCAGGGAAAGGGCTCTGAGCTCAAGGAAGACACCCCAAGTCGTGGTATTCCCCTTATCAGGGAATAGAGAGAAGTTAAGGTTCGAGCAAAGTTTCTAGGCCAGCCCCAGAACGCTTCCCCCCGGGTAGATGTTTAAGAGGTGAGGTGTCGGGGTGGTGGAGGGATGCTAAAGTCGTGAGATAATGCAGGTATAGGACAGCTTTGGTATTTATTATTTATTTGGTCTAATACTGATTGGATAATAGAACTATTGTCAATTACGTATTAAATTGCTGAAACATCTGCGTGTGCTCCTCCCAAAGTTTGTTTATAAAACATGACAAATCGAAATCTTACCTATGAAATACTTTGTTTTTGCTTTGTTTGCTCATTACTACACCTGAATGCAGCGCAAAAGTCCAGCATCTTCAGATTGGCTTTGCTCTCAACAAAGTGCGGTTGAATGACTTTTGTCCTGGGAGCACTGAACAAATATGGTGGCAGTATTGACGCATGCTCGGGGGCTGTATACAATATCTAATGCATAAATCTACGAGGTAAATCGTAACCAACTCTTACAAAAATAATGCAAGTAAAAGTATTTCTGCTCTTATGCAAAATATCAAATGTTCATACAAATTCCCATATGACACTACCAAGCAGCCAAATTATCAAAAGTCCAAAGTGTGTGTGTTTCTGCCAGAAAATGTAATTCTCAAACACAGTGTGTAAATGTGCTACTCCTTCAGAGACTCACAACATTAGAATTCCTCAAGGCTGCGAAACACTTTCAAGACCTTGTTAGGGGTGTGGACTGCATCTTAAATGACACCTATTATCAAAGGCAATACAAACTCAATCTTTCCCATTTCAAAACAGAACATTTCATTTTAGTCACGGCACCAAAGGGTAATTACTCTGTACAGTCATCATTTTGTTGCTGCGTGTAAAACATCCAACCAAAAATGAAACTTTTAATTAAGGTTAGTGCTTGAATATTTTATTCATTACCATTTGTGGACTTCTCTTCGGGCTGACTGTGCTTATAAACAATTCAATATTACCATGTATTTTCATTAATGAGACTTTATTTTGCTCCATGCACGCTGTAGGGCCTGCTGACTTATTGACGAACTGAAAAAGGTGAGAGAAATAAGAAACTGCACAGAATGAAGCTGTTGAGGACAGACTGACATATATTGTAAAGTCACTAAATCCTGATAGACATCTAGACTTCCTGAAATTTTGACTCCTGAAGTGAAAAGAGAAGAGAGTTTACTGACAATTTAGTGACCGATAGGATTCAGTTTGTTGATTATCAGGGCACACATGATCACATTAAACTTTGAGTTGAAAAGTTGCAAATCCTCCAGGATCTACTTTCAGAAGATGTCTAAAGCATGATATAATGATCAGATCTAAATACTTCTTGTACAGAAGGCTTGTTTATGTCACATGATTCTGTCTTCACACTTCTGCCTTACAGAAGTTTCAGTTTAGATGTCTCTAGTGTTAAAAACAGAGTAAAGGTCAAGTTAACAGTTCTACGAACATTAGCGAGATCTTATGATGTCTAATTATAAAGGACTAAAGAAATATGAGGCTATTTATGACAAATTTGATCAAAGCTGAGCTTCAGTTGCTCTGGAAGTAAGTTTGAGCTCTCTGTTTAGATGATCTCTGTTTAATCATAATTATTATTGAATAAAAGATTCTCAGATTAACACAGAAAGCAAATCTGAGCATCCAACGTGATCTATTAATACAGATCATTTGGTATTGAACTGCTCACAGTCTTTAAAATAACCATAAATGTGCTAAAAAGTTTAATGTCACGTGAGCTACGTCTGGGCACATTTAGACAATCTCATTTCCTTTATTATCATAGGAAAAAAGCAGTGATAAAAGCAGCAATGAGCAGAGCTGAAGCACACAAAGATAGTGATGGACTGTTAAAAGACAAAATGTCTGATATTTATGAAGCTGTTGAGTCTACTGGACCAGATGGAGAGCGAGTAGAGATGATGGTGAACATCTATGAGAGTGCAGATTATGTGATAGATCATGACCTCCAAACAAACCCGCAACAACCACTTCAGCAAACAGGTAATCACACTCTTTTTTTTTTTTTTTTTTTTTTTTAGGAGAAAATCGAAATGTATATGAATACAATTTTAGGTATTTAACATGTCTTTGGTGTTCAGGTAGTATTTGCTTGAAGAAAAGACGCTCAAGAGCATCTCCAGTGTGTGTGGTGCTGCTGTGTTCTCTTCTGATGACTGCAGTCACAGTGTTAAGTCTCTACGTTTATACAAATTACACACAAGAGACCAGAATTACCAGCCTCACAGAAGAGAGAGACCAGCTACTAACCAACATAACTAACCTCACAGAAGAGAAAGCCAAGCTACTAGCCAGCAATACCAACCTCAAAGTTGAGAAAGATCAGCAACTTAAAATGATGAAAGCTATGAAAGATCAATTAGAGAACATAATCAAAAACCTTTTAAAGGAAAATAAGCAATTCTCATCCAAGAATGAGGATCTATTGAAACAAAGTGCGCAGTTAAAGAAGGAGAAAAAAGACCTGGAGAAGCGTCTTCATGAACAGGGTAATTATGATTATCACCATAACTATACAAGCATCTTAAATATAAAATCTTTGATCAAAAACTGTGATAAATAAGTTGTGGAGTTAAGTGTTATGGGAATGAAGTGCTAATACTTGAACTGTTGTATTTATAGATAGCTGGTTTTACTTTCAGTCCAGTTTTTACTTCATTTCCTCTGAGGAAAGGAATTGGACTGAAAGCAGAAGATACTGTAGAGACAAAGGAGCAGATCTGATTATCATAAACAACAGAGAAGAACAAGTGAGTGAAGTATACTGTAAACTTTGTGTCCTTGAATACATGGTTTATGATGACTCCTTCATGCATTATGATATGGAAATCAGAATGTACAAATGGTTACAGTGACCCTTTCTCTGTCCTTGTTAACCAAATGGCTAAAAAATTAAATGTTTTTTTTTTTTGAAAATCAAAGTTTGGAAGGACTTTTCTTCAGGGGTTGTGTTTAGCAGAAGGGTTTGGAAATACAATGTTGTGACTATACAGTAAACTGTAGGATAAAAGTTATCTATGAAGCAAAGGTGAGTGTTTGGCTATTAGATATATGTACAGTATGTGTTTGTGTAAAGACAACTGAATTTTGGTATTATTTAATTATAATTTGTTTCATCACTGAAGGATCACGTTAAGAAAATGTCTGGGGGTTTTACGGTCTGGATTGGTCTGACTGACAGTGATGACAGATGGAAATGGATTGATGGCACCAACATGACCACTGGGTGAGAAATAACTGAACTGATTGTTATCTGATAAATGATTCTCCAGTCAGAATCTTGTCACACAGAAACAGAACTGAACATCTAATGCTGATCTGTAGTTTCAGGTTCTGGAATCATGGAGAGCCAAATGGACAAGGAGGAGAGAACTGTGTTACGTCTCGTTCTTCAGGGTGGGCTGATTATCCATGTTTTTATCCTTTTCCTTGGATCTGTGAGAAAAACACTTTAAAATGTCAATAAATCACGTCTTTGCTGTTTCACTTAAATACAATAATCACAAACATACTGACTACTGTACATTTTTATTTCAAACATTGCTGTGTACACTATAATAAATAAGCTTGTTCTGTCTTTGGATTTTGTTACTGTTTGCTTTGTGTGTGTGTGTGTGTGTGTGTGTGTGTGTGTCTGAAATTGGTGTGTTGATTAAAGGTCCCGTGAAGTTCTTTGAAATATGCATTTTTTGAAATATGCATTTTTATTAGATGTTTGACTTCATCTCAACCGAAAAAAGAAGAGAGGGTGGGACATAGTTTAGCTCTTGCCCTTTTACAAAAATTTCCAATATGTCACACAACCAGCGATCACTTTCCAGAGATCGCTGGTTCTCACACGAACTTCAGGACTACACTTCCGCATTTCCTGGACTACATTTTCATACATGCACTGCTCCCTGACACCCATGCTCACACATCTATCCTTATTACAATCACCAGCTGAACCTTGTCACAGACTGATAGCCTACCATACATAAACCACTCATGAACTCATCCAGTTTGCCAAGTCTTGTTAGCTGTACCAGTAGCATTACGAAGCGTTTTCCCTGTCTTGTTTCTCTGTGTTAGTCCCTAGCCTTGTTTACCTTTGTTCTCCTGTTTAGCCGCCTGCCTTTTGACCTGTTGCCTGTACCGACTACGATTCTGGACTGCCTTAATATACCCGTTTGCACCTTTATGACCACTGCTTGCCTGACGCTGAATAAACCTGCATATTGGATCTTACCTCCTGTTGTCCTCTGTCACTCCACCCCCGTCGTTACACAATAACAGTTTGTTTCATCATTACTCTGCCAAAGAGAGTGGTTAAGATCAAGCGCATCAAATGAAAAGCAAATGAGAAGCGTCTCGAAGGGGGCGGGACATGTCAGATTCTAAGATTTGAAGAGAAACTGAAGTATGAGGTGACGTGAATAAAATTGTTAACCTATTTAGACGGAAGTGACAAACTACAAGCTTTACATGTTTATATTTGTTTTATGTCATCTAAATGTGATTGTCACTTATTTGGTATGTTAAAAACTAACAATACTGATAATAACATCTAAAAACTTTATTTTAATTTAATGGGACCTTTAAGTAATTCCCATCACACAGCTATTTACTCATACAGACACTGGTTTGTTGCTGCATGCAAAACATGCAAGCACAAATAGAACCTTTGTTTAAGGTTACTACTTGACTATTTCATTCATTACTGTTTGAGGACTTCTCAACATTGGGCTGACTGTACTTAAAACAATTCAGTATTACCATATCTTTTCATTAATGAGACTACGTTATGCTCTGTGTGTGCTGTAGGACCTGTTGATTTATTTATGAACTGAAAAAGAATGTAAAAGGTGAGAGAAAAAAAGAAGCTTGAACAGTCTGTCACATGAAGTCACTAGTGCTGATAGACATCAAGACTTCCTGAAGATTTGACACCTAAGGTGAAAAGAGAAGAGATTTCACAGACATTTTTGCGATAGTGGATTTTATATATATATATATATATATATATATATATATATATATATATATATATATATATATATATGTGTGTGTGTGTGTGTGTGTGTGTGTATGTGTGTATATGTCTATCAGCATCTTGATGTCTATATATATGCCTTAGTGCCCCCACCAGTGCCGATATACAGCCATATTACACTGCAACGACTGTGATATTGCGTTTATACAACAGTTTGTTGGCATAATTGTGTATTTAAAAACAAAATCAAACACTGAGAGTTTCAAAAACCCTTTTGTATGTGAAACTACTTTCTTCTACATTGGATTCAAATCATAAGCTGACAGTTAAACAGTTGAGCGTGCATCTTTTAAACTTAAGATCTGTAGTGTCTGCTTTTTGCTGGCTGTATGTGGGCGGAGTAATACAAAAAGGGTAAAGAGGCTGTAGGAGTTCTGATATTGCAGAATATCGCACGGCTATCAGCCAATCAGATTTGAGAACCAGACAGAACTGTAGTATAAATAAATAAATATATATATATATATATATATATATATATATATATATATATATATATATATATATATATATATATATATTGTAGCGAGGCAAAGGGAAAACACAAACACAGTAGCGTTGGTTACAAACAAGTCCCCGGAGGGTGCTTTATTTACAAGGTGAAATAGTGCAAAATACGGTGCTCTTCTTGGTGTTGGTGCTCGAGTGCTCCGGGGAGAAAATGAAGGATGGCGAGAGTTCAGGTGGAGGATCGTTCACGAGCTGGAGTCCGCTGTGGGAGAGACAGAGAGACAAAAGCGTTAGCGCAGGGAGTCATGTGTAAATGAAGCTCATCCTCCTCCTGTGTGGGGCTGGCTTTTATGTCTCTCCGGCTGATGAGGTCCAGCTTTGGGCGATCCGGTGCTGATGAGGTGCCAGTTGGGGTGAATATGTGACCAGGACGTACATAATTGGGTGTTCTTCATCGCCGTGCACCTGGGAGAGGACCGCGCCCAGGCCCGAGTCGGAAGCATCCGTTTCAAGGATGAAGGGGCAGCCAAAGTCAGGTGCGTGCAGAACCGGTGAGGATGTGAGGGCCGTCTTCAGGGCTTGGAACACGTCTTCTGCTGCCTTGTGCCATGTTATCCTCTCTGACTGCCCCTTTCTGGTCAGGTCTGTCAGTGGGCTGGCTATGGATGAGAAGTTGGGTATAAAACATCAATAGTAGCCCGCTAACCTCAGAAATGCACGTACCTGGGTCTTCGTGGTGGGTTGTGGAGTTTCTTGTAGTGCTTTGATCTTGTTCTGTTGTGGCTGTATGAGACCTCTTCCAATGTAGAAACCCGAGGTATTTGGCTTCGGCTAGCCCCAGGTGGCATTTCTTTGGATTAGCTGTGAGCCCAGCCCGTCGAAGATCTAAGAGCACCCTCCATAACCGGGATAGATGTTCTTCCCATGACTCGGAGTGGACGATGAGATCGTCCAAATACGCTGCTGCATATAGCTGGTGGGGCCTCAGCAGGATGTCCATCATTCATTGGAATGTGGCTGGGGCCCCGTGGAGCCCGAAGGGAAGAACCCGGTATTGCCAGTGCCCACCGGGTGTGGAGAAGGCGGTTTTCTCCTTGGCCTGTTCACTTAGTGGCAACTGCCAGTAGCCTTTGGTGAGGCCGATGGTGGAGATGAATCGGGCTCCACCCAGCCTATCCAGCAGCTCGTCCACCAGAGGCATGGGGTATCCGTCAAACTGGGGTATCATTAAGTTTCCTGAAGTCGTTGCAGAAACAGAGGGTGCCATCGGGTTTGGGGACCATCACTACTAGGCTGGACCACGGGCTACGGGATGGCTCGATGATTCCTAACTGTCTCATCCTCTGGATCTCCTCGTTGATAGCCAGCCGGCGAGCCTCTGGTACTCGATAAGGCCTCTGCCGGACGATGCTTCCAGATGGAGTGATGATGTTGTGCTGGATGATGGTGGTTCGACCCGCTTTCTCCGAGAAAACATCCTTGAACTGACCAACCAAGGCTTGCAGCTCCGCCTTCTGGTTCGGTGAGAGTTGCTCACCTATGTGCACGATGGGGGAACTTTCTTCTGTGAAGGCGACTAGGTGGCCTGGAGCTGCAACCCACTTCTTCATCAAATTGATGTGGTATAGCTGTTCTTACCGTCTTCTTCCCGGCTGACGGACTCGATAGTTTACCGGCCCTACCCTTTCCACCACCGTATACGGTTCCTTCCAGGATGCGAGGAACTTCGAGGTTGTGGTGGGAATCAGGATCATCACCTTGTCTCCTGGGTGGAACTCCCTGGGTTAGGCGGGCCGGTTATATAATCTCGGTTGGGCGCGCTGGGCTTCGGTCAGGTTTTGCTTGACGATGGGCATGACTTTCTTGATGCGTTCTCTTATGTCCCGTACGTGTTCAATCACCGACCGCTGGGGGGCTGGCTCTTGCTCCCAGGCCTGACGAGCCACATCCAAAAGTTGGCATCCAAACAGAATTTCAAAGGGGGTGAAGCCTGTGGAGGCCTGGGGGACTCCTCTGATCCCAAATAACACGTACGGAATCATGAGGTCCCAGTCGCGCCCGTCCTCTGCCACCACCCGGCGGAGCATCTGCTTTAGCGTCAAGTTGAGCTGCTTGGGTACGTACCGGCTGCTTCTCATCATAAGACCATTGTGAGAACTGTTGAATGGGGAGAGCCCCATTCTGGCTAGTATCTTCTTCTTTAACGCTTTGTAGTCTTAATTTTTAGGTGTCTCAAGTGCGAAATAAGCTTGTTGAGCTTCTCCGGTGAGGAATGGAGCCAACATCCTCGCCCAGCTTTCTTTCGGCCAGCCTTCTCTCTTGGCAATCACTTCAAATGTGTGTAAGTAAGCGTCAATATCATCCAGGTCGCTGAGTTTGGTGAGGTGGTGATGTGCACTCACTTCAGGAATCGGGTTGTATCTGGCCGCCTGGCGGAGCTGCTGTTCCAGTTTGTCCTGTCTGGCTGTAAGCTGCTCAGAGATGGTTTGCTGTTTGCTGGAGATCTCCGCTAGGTGGAGTAGTACCTCTTCCAGTGACATGGCGACGGGATGTTGACAGCCGAGTAAGAGGGAGCGTGAGTGAGAGAGCGGATGCCTGTCTGTAACACAAAGAAAAATTCAGCGGTTATTTCTTCTTACTGGTAAGTGTTTCTTCTGAATTTTTCCCTCTGCAATGCCTGCATTCTCCACCAGTTGTAGCGAGGCAGAGGAAAAACACAGTAGCATTGGTTACAAACAAGTCCTCGGAGGGTGATTAGGTGAATAATGTGAAAATACGGTGCTCTTCTTGGTTGTGGTGCTCCAGGGATAAGGTGAAGGATAGTTAGAGTTCGGGTGTTGGATCGTCACGAGTCCGCTGTGGGAGAGACAGAGAGACACAAGCGTTAGCGCAGGGAGTCATCAGATAATGAAGCTCGTCCTCCTTGTGTGTGGGGCTGGCTTTTATGTCTCTCCGGCTGATGAGGTCCAGCTGTGAACAATCCGGTGCTGATGAAGTGCCAGCTGGGGTGAATATGGGACCAGGGCGACGTGGCATCGGTATACTCCCCACATTATATATATATATATATATATATATATATATATATATATATATATATATATATATATATATTGAACAAATGTTGGGTCCTTTACACCAGAAATGATTTGTAAAGTCAATAAGCTTAAGGCTGTCATGAAAATTCACATCTGAAAGTCTTAGCTCAAACATCTGCATTTCTGGATACATGACAAAAAGTTTAACACTTCAGCAATGAATGTTTATTGTAAGCCTTTCGCAGTTTTAATTCATGCATAGGATACTGAATGTATGTCTGTGCAATTGACAGGGAGGGATTTAACTAATAAGTGAGGTGAGCGGCCACTCAGGGCCCCAGAAAATTTAGAGGCCAGAATAAATATCTGGAAGTACATTTAGTACAGCCTAGCCTAATGTTATATATAATTATTTTAGTTTAAAGTACACTTTAGCTTTGATTTTGATTTTAAGTTTAACTAAAGCAAGTCAGTTAATTCATGGTTGAAAAACTTAAAAAAACATTTTCCCTATACACAGCAAATTCATCAGAGTTAAATTCTCGGTGTTGAAGCATTTGAGAATAAAGTGTTGACGTTAAAGAGTTAGATTTTGATAAATGAATATAATAAGAGTTAGAATTGATTTTATTCAGTGCGAAATCAAGGAGTTATCTTTTCAACACTTGGTGGTGTTATTTCCAACATCCGGGAATTCATGCAGCCCCAGTCACTGAAGAATTTTCCAGACGCCATTTTCCATCTGAGGTTTAGAACAGCAACTGGTGAGTCAAACTACCTAAATGTTGGTATTTTACTGACTTTCTTTAAGGAAATACAGTTGTAAACATGTTGTTAAGTTAATAACTTTAGAATGGAGTGACAATTTTAAACTTCTGCGGTTCATTCATGGTCGTTTGTGTATCTAGCTTAACTGCATTACTATTGACTTCTTTTCAAGAATGTTTTTATATATGCTCACGCATACATAGTGCATAAAAACATCAAATGTACATGTTCAACGCATTTCTGTCACGCTTAATGCCATTTTGTGCGTTGTTACCCATTTGTAAAATAAAATCGACACTTCTCCTTTAATTCCAAGCAAACTAGCGAGGGAATCCCTGGAGCCGCCTAACGTTAGCCTACTCTGCCCGGATGCTAACGGCAACACAGGACGGTTTCCATGAGCTCTGGAGAGTTTCTAAAACATATCTGGTGAGTAAATGAACATATGCATACTTGTAAAAGGCTTCCTGACTGAAACAAATGATTGTTTTTTATTCGTGTACGTTAATTTGGTTATTTTAAACACCGCGGCCCTTTTAAACTGGTTCATTCATGGCCGTCCATATACCGTTAGTCCATAACTTAGACTCGTGTGATAACATACGCTTGAATTATATTAAGTGTTGACAACCATTAAAGTCGGAATGTTAACATTAATGTCTTTAAATGACCGCGTTTGCACTTTATCAGACATTTAACGTTACAGAAGTCTCCCGGAAGTTGCGGGACTAACGTTAACGTTATCCCGCAAATGCACAGAGACTCCCAGATGCCCAAGTAGATGCCCACAAATGAATGATAATCTCCCGGAAATCGCGCGTCTCCCACCCGGTCATTAAACACTTTGCACACCCCTCTCCACCGCATCCCTCTCAGCTCTTCAGGTACGTCGCGCGCAAGTCACCCCCACCGCTCTTCAGGTACATCGCGCGCAACTCATCCCATTGCTCTTTAGGTACTCATCTCTCCCGCTACCTCCCGCAAATCAACTCTGTATCCCCCGAAAATGACTTTTCCCAACTCGGGATGTCTGACGTTAGTAAGTTAGGCTATTTCTGTAGTCAGGAACATCTTAGTCAAGCTTTTTCTCCCGCATGATATTGTGCTTAAAACTATAGGCTAAACTTAGCATGTACTGTACACAACATTACCGTTTTATTAGTGCGTTGTAAAAAGCCACCTGTCTGTAAAATTAATCAACTGATTCATATTTGAGCAGCCTAATGATGATACAGGTTTGATTTGTAGATTTATTATCAATAATCAACATCTGAATCAAAAGATATGTGAAAATGTGTGAGGCATACTTTGTGATGTTCATCTCTCTTTTTTTTATCTGAAGGCTATGCATATGTGTTAGATACTAATGTGTTGTTGTTTTTTAACAGCCACAGTTCTCTGTACAATAACACAAGACCCTGTGACGGTGGCTGATTAGAGACGGATGGTGTATTTCCAGAGTTGGTGAAATGACCAAGCACACCTTCTTGGTCATATGTGGTGATAATAATGAAGGTATGTTTAATAAAATTCTGTATTTGTTTCACAATAAGCTGAGAGAGTATTAGAGCATTAAAGAATAACGAATGACATGAAGGTGATAAGTTTTGTATTGTGGGTGAACTGTTACTTAAATAATGTTTTGCTCTTTGCTCTGCACTTTTTCTCTTCTGCTTATCCTAATATTTTAGATTATATTTGGACCTGAAACATCTGCTAGACTCCAGGAAAGGTGGCGTCAATACTGGACCTGAAAGGGCCTAACAAGTTGAATCTGGTAAAGAAACACGCACACACACACACACGCACGCACATGCTTACAGAAAACTGTAAGTTTATGAATATTTTTTACACTGTGGCCAATATTTTGGGGAAGTCAGCATCACTAAATGATTCTGGACAGACAGCTGCCTGTTTTTCCAGTTCTAGTCATAGTGGGTAACCTAATTGTTTTTGGAGATCCAACAGTGATGTATGTGTTTTTTCTACTTTTCCATATCCTGTCACCTCAACCAGCTGGGAGAGTCAAATTGTGGATCATCATGTAGATTTTCAAAAGGTGAGTTTAGATTTCTTGAAAGTTTTATTTACTTTAAATGTTCTTTTAAATATATCATAGAATTTGATTGCAATTTGTTTTCAAACATTTTTCTTAGTCATGCTGGAGTCTTGAAGAGTTCTTAGATGAGCATCACCCTACAGTATATCCGTGCATCAGGAACCACCAGACGAGCGATCAGCAGCTACTACTGTACATCGTCATGGATAAAAAGGTCATCCTGTGGCTGGGAAGCACATCTTTCACAGGACATGCTTGATGAGATTTCCTACCTCCAGTTTGTTTTCACACAAGTTTACAGCATTTATACCTTCATTTAAACTGCTGTGTTTGATATGGAGGACCAAGGAAACACCAGAAGTGAAAGATTTGCACGCCAAGTTGTTTAAAATGTATTTTCAGAAGAAAACTATGAGTTCAGAAGAAAACTATGAGTGACGATATATTGAACTTTCAAATTGCTCTGATGAAACATCAAGTTTGGACATCATATTTTGTTGATACTGTCTGTACTAATAAAACATTTAAAGCATATTTGACATTGTTGCATTTTAAAAATTGAATGAATTGTTGAAGTTGTGAATGTTTTCAAATAAAATGTTTTTTATTTTGTAATTTACAGTCTATTTGACCTTTTTACCATATTTACACTCAAGAGAGTTGAATAAAATAACAATATATTACACCAGGTGGTGTTAAATATAGTTACATTTTTTAACTCTGCCCTGAGTTAAAATTAACCCTTACTTCGGTGTCAATGTGCCAACCCTTTTGAAAGTGTTGATTTAACTTTGTTTTGAGTGGACCCCATGAGACACTTTCAAAGTGTTGAAATTAACACCCATAGAGTTGTTTTGGGTCCCCATATTTTGCTGTGTAAGTGAATATTTTTTTATATATATAATTTCACTTTACATGACATTTTCAGTTTCAAAACTATAAATTGAGAAAATTATAAATTCATCTGTACCAACAATATAATTATTGTATGAGGACAACAAAATGGTTTGACAAAGATACACTGAAACCTAGTTAAAGTAGTTAGCGTTACTTTATAGGCTAACCTTATTGTTGTTCTCATTGATATTTATTCATTAGGATAAACCCCTGTATGTACCATCTCATTTTCAAGTGGGTCCCATGATTAATCACAATCGTATAATAATAACACCAGAAGACAAAAACAAAACATAAATTACACAACATCAAAAAAAGAAAAAGAAAAAAAGAAACATTAACAAAAGGGGAAAGCATAAATGTACAAATCAGTGAATCAAATCACCACATTAATAACATAATAACATTCTCAGAAAAAACAAGTACAGTACAAAGTTAAACATGACAGCATTTGTTTAGGAAGTAAATGTGTGTCCTCAGAAATCATTGTCATTATCTAATAAGCATTTCTCTCCACCATTACCTTAAAGAAAACAATACTGTACATCAAATGTGATCTGTGGTAAGTGAACATTTGTAGATTATGCTGCTCACTGTCTTAGCTTCAGGAAAACGCCATGTGATGTAATGTCACGTGACTTGAATTTGACACATTTCTCGTTTCTCATTTCCTCTTTCTTTATTTTAGTTGTTGGTGATAAAGGTGCATAACTGAAAGGCACACAAAGAACATTCAGCGTTAACAGTTTAAGATTATAAGCCTGTATAAGAGTAGAAATGTCTTAAGATGTTTATGACAATGTGGTCAGCATCGAGTCTTGGGGAAGGAACAGATCTATTGGAAATGACAGTGGCTATTTATGAGAGTGCAGACTGTATAAAAGATCAAGACTTCAGGACAAACACACAACAATCCCTTCAACAAACAGGTAACTACACATTTTGTACATTCAATTATTTAGTATTTAGTTTGTGCACAGCTTTTTTTTTTTCAAATGAAAATGTCACAGTTTGCACATTTAATCATGGAACATCATTGTTCTTCATTAGGAAGTGATTCAGTAAACAAAGAGCACCAGAGCTTATGCAGTGTGTTTGGTGCTGCTGTGTTTTCTTCTGCTGACTGCAGTCATAGTGCTGAGTGTCTACATCTATGCAAACTACACACAACAGACCAGATTTACCAGCCTCAGAGAAGAGAGAGACCAGCTACTAATCAACATAACCAACCTCACAGAAGAGAGAGACCAGATGCTAACCAGTTTCAAAGTTATCAAAGCAGAGAATGCTCAGAACCAAATCTTGACGAATCTTGACCTGCAGGAGTGTCGTAATAAACTGGGTACATCATATTTGGTTACAACCTATTATTCATATATAGTGTCGTTTAGTGTGATGATGACTTTTACTTTAATTATGTTTACAGAAGGATGGTTTAACTTAATCAGTCCAGTTTTTACTTCATTTCTTCAGAGAAGAAGAACTGGTCTGAGAGCAGAAGATACTGTAGAGACAGAGGACCAGATCTCATCATCATAAACAACAAAGAAGAACAAGTGAGCGAAATACCCCCCCCCCCCCCCTCTTTTTCTCTCTCCCTCTCTCTCAATTCAATAATTGCTTTATTGGCATGACAAATGTTACAAATGTATTGCCAAAGGAGTTATAAAGTAACTATTATAACAAAAACAGTACACACAGTAAATAGTAGTAGTTTAAAAAAAAAAAAGATGATATTTATATTTAAGAATTAAATAAAATATCAACAATACATCATATTATTCAATATATCACAATAATATTCAATATACTATATTATTATTCAACACATCATATTAATCCAACAAATTAATACAAAAATAGATCAGAATAAACTGTACATTTTAACAATCAACAACATTTTGTGTGTGTGTGTGTGTGTGTGTGTGTGTGTGTGTGTGTGTGTGTGTGTGTGTGTGTGTGTGTGTGTGTGTGTGTTTGCAGGCACACCACTGATGTTTTTATTGGTCTGCTTTCTCTTTTTGTGACAGGCATTAATCTATTGGGTGCTAGCTGTGTTTGCAGCTTCAGGACCGTCTGAATCAGGAGACTTTTTTTCAATATTTATTTCTTGGGTTTTGAGGGCTTTAAAATGATAAGAGTCGGGGTCACTCATTTTAATGTGTTTCCAAAATTTAACAGATCGTTTCTCAATGCGCATGAGTAAAGGATACTGGCCTAATTCTGCCCTGCATGCATTGCTAGGTGTGTTCCTCTGTACCCCGAGGATGCTCCTATAGAACTCTGCATGTAGGCCTTCAACTAAATTTTTATCCCACTTATCAAGCTCATAACTGAGGAGAGGACCCCACACTTCATTCCCGTATAGAACTATAGGTTCAATCACTGACTGGAAAATTTTGAGCCAGATTCTAATTGAAATTTCTATTTGTGTTGATTTTTTTAATGATGTAAAAGGGCCTTTCTTGCTTTCTCTTTTAGTTCATTCACAGCTGAATTTAGTTTTCCATTAGCACTTATTTTCAACCCAAGGTATGTGTAGCTTATGGCAGGTTAAATTTTTGTCATACCAAGGGTAAAGCTGTGTTTCTGGGTTTTTAGTTTTAGTTTTCTTTGGGTTAACGGTCAGGGCCCAGGTCTGACGGGAGCTGTGCAGGATATCAGGCTGCTGCTGTAGACCCTCTTCTGTTGGCGACAGCAGCACCAGATCATCTGCAAACAGCAGGAACTTCACACTGGAGTCGTATAGTGTGAGACCCGGTGTATCTGCATGCTCTAGGAGAGGAGCATGCAGATACATGTAAATATTGAAGAGGGTTGGTGGACAGCCCTGTCTCACACCCCGCCCCTGACAGAAGAATTCTGTTCGCTTATTTCCTATTTTAATTGCACATTGATTGTTCAAATACATTGTTTTTGTAATGTTGTATGTTGTCTCTATCTCTCTCTCTTTCTGTGTGTGTGTGTGTGTGTGTGTGTGTGTGTGTGTGTGTGTGTGTGTGTGTGTGTGTGTGTGTGCGTGTTTTGTATGATTCAGATGGATATTTAAGTGTGTTTGTGTGATGTCAAAGTCGACTGATTTTTGTCATTACTTAATTTCTATATTATTAATTGTTTTTTAAGGAATATTTTAATGCAATATCTGGTGGCACTGCGTTTTGGATTGGTCTGACTGACAGTGATGAAGAGGGCAGTTGGAAATGGGTTGATGGCAGCAACATGACCACTGGGTGAGAAATTGCTGAATTTCACTGATTATTATCTAATAAATGATTCTTCAGTCAGAATCATATTATACAGAAAGCAGAACTGAACATCTGATGCTGATCTGTCGTTTCAGGTTCTGGAGGTTTTCAGAGCCCAATGGACAAAGAGGAGAGAAAGAACTGTGCTGTATCTTATTCTTCAGGATGGGTCGATTATCCATGTAATGACTATTTTCAGTGGATCTGTGAGAAAAGAGCACTTAAAAAAGTCATTAAGTTGTATTTTTGTTCATGCTGTAAATTACATGCAACATTTTCTCTCTCCTAAATACAATATTCAGACATACAGTTTGTCTTATTAAAATTATATTCAAAACATTGTTATTTACCCTATAATAATTAAATCTGTTTTGTTAATTGTGATGGAATCCCCAGGCTTCACCATCATTCAGCACCACCAACCACTTTACACGGGACCATTAAACAGCCAATTAGTGTCACCATCACCAGCATAAAACCATCACGCACACTTGCTGCATCCCCTGACAATTTTAACTCATAGGGGAAAAATGATTAATTAATCATTACTGGTTATAATTACACATTTGTTTCAGTTATATGTAATAACTAGATGTAGCAATTTTAAAATTACTATTGAAACTAGTTTATCCCATGAACATTCATGAATATAGACTAGCATTTCTTATTCAGATATCCTTTTTTAGCCCTTTTTACAAGATGTAAGATAAAGCTTTGGTGTCTCCAGAATGTGTCTGCAAGTTTCAACTCAAAACATCCATCAGATCATTTATTGAAGTTCCAGAATATGCTATATTTTGTGCTCAGAGCAACATATAGCTGTTTTTGTAGCCTGTACCTTTAATGCAAATAAGCTGGTTCACTCCGTCCACCGCTCCCATCTGCATGTCAGCTTCTATTGTGTCAAGTCAGATAAACAGCACCGAGACAGATTCGGATGAAGGAGATTCAGGATTCAGTTTATGAGTCAAATATAGCAACTGAGTTTGTCATGGTCTGTCACCTGCATGTTGTCACAGTCATTCGTGTTTGTTTTCTCGTAGCACATGGCATTGTTTTGACAGCGCGCCATGTGCTCCACTGCCTCACTCCACCCACTTATCAGGTTACTCATTAGATCATTATTTCATTATTCGCACCTGTCTCTAGTCTTAGCCTTATGAGTCTCCCTATTTATTCTCCTCTCTGTCATTGTCTTGTACCGGGTCGTTAGTGTGTTTACCTCACGCGGTGGCCTCTTAGATCGTGTCCTGTCTTGTATCCATTTTTGACTCCAGTGCCAGTTTTTTTGATTTCGATTTTGTGGTTTGGACTGTTTCCTGTTTTTTCCCCTTTTATCAGATCGCCCTCGCTGCTATCAGTTGTGGCAGACGCTTCCCTCTCCACTTCCTGCTTCAGCCTTTTCTATCCCGCCCACCAGCGATCTTCTCCCTCTCTGGCCGCCTTGTATCCCGCCCGGGCGCTTTCACTTCGGCGGCTGATACTGCTGTGTTTCCCGTTTGACTGGAGAGTTGGACCACCGTGCGTCTCCTGCTGGAAGCACTTTATATTGCCCTTCACCTGAGTTACCCATTTCCTGTTTTTTGACTGAGAGTTGGACTGCCGTGCGCCTCCTGCTGGAAGCACTTAGTATTGCCTGTAATTATACCTTCCGTTTTTGCCCCTTTTTGACTGGCGACTTTGGATCGCTGAGCGCCCTCTGTTGAACTTTCTTTATTTATTTTTTGCCAGTATTTTGTGCTTTTTCTGTGGCATTTACAGCACCCTGTGCTGAGAATTTTTTGTTGTATAATATCCCCTCTGCAGGCCACTTCAGTAATAAATAATTCTGTTTTTCCCTGCATTTGATTCCTCCTGATTTTTTATACTGACACTTGTATGACAGAACGACCCGGTCAGAAGATGGAATCAGCAGGTTCTGACCAGATGCGCAATGCACTCGCCCAACAAGGTGCACTTTTGGGCCAGCACGCCACCCAGCTCAACACCACCTCCAGAGAGGTCGAGATGCTCACTGCCCAAGTGGTCGAGCTCAATGCCCGAATTGAGGAGCTCCAGCACAACGTCACAGTACCCAGGCAAGCTTCTTCTTCCCCCACCACACCCCATCATGACCCAGAGCCCCATGCAAACAACCCTCCACCTTACGATGGGGACCCCAACTCCTGCCGGGCCTTTTTATCACAGTGTGCCTTAGTTTTTGCCCTACAGCCCCGCCGATATGCCTCTGAGGCATCCAGGGTGGCATACGTCTTGACCCTGCTCACTGGGAGAGCACGTGAGTGGGGCACCGCTGTTTGGGATGCCAGGGCACCCTTTTGCCACTTTTTCGAGGACTTCAGGGAGGAAATGATCAAACTTTTTGACCGGTCTGCACAGGGTGATGAGGCGGCTGCCCGCTTGGCACGACTATCCCAGGAGGGCCACTCCGTCACAGACTTTGCAATCCAGTTCAGAACTCTAGCTGCCTCCTGTGATTGGAACGAGGGGGCCCTACGTTCCAGATTTTTTGAGGGCCTGAACGAAGAGATCCAAGATGAGCTTTCTTCTCATGAGCTCCCCCATAACCTTGAGACCCTTATTAACCTGGCACTCCGTGTGGAGGGGCGCCTCCGCCGCCGCCGCCACTGGCGGTCCATTCACTCCTCCTGGAGGGTTAATGACCTTCCCCTCCAACAATCTAGCTCTTCTACTCCTCCCTCACCTGAACCTGAGCCCATGCAAATGGGTCGTATGCGCCTTACACCTCAAGAAAAGAGGGACCGTCTTGCCCGTGGTCTATGCCTCTACTGCGGAAAACCAGGGCATTTTGCCGTCAAGTGTCCTTTAAAAGCCAAGGCCCATCAGTGAACCGGGGGATCCTGGTGGGCGCCTTTCCCTGTCTAGACTCCCCCCGCTCTCGCACCCTGTTGCCCATCACCATCCAGTATGAAGGATCCACTAATTCGGCCTCTGCCTTGCTTGATTCAGGGGCCGAGGGTAACTTTCTAGACCGTGCCATTGCCAAACAGTGGGGCATTCCTGCCGTCCCTCTCCCTTCCCCCATTTCTGTCTGGTCATTAGCTGGTCAGCTTCTCTCCACCATCACCCACATCACTCCCTGTGTAAGTCTTGTCGTTTCCGGCAATCACCGTGAGGCCATTGAGCTGTACCTTTTTGACTCGCCGGGTTCCCCTGTAGTCCTGGGGCATCCCTGGCTGGCACAGCACAATCCTCACGTTGATTGGTCTGGAGATTCTGTGTTGGCCTGGAGTCAGTCTTGTCATGTATCTTGTTTGGGTTCTGCCTTGTCTCCTGGTTCTTTGTGTTCTGTGTTGCAGGAGGAGACAGCCGATTTAACCAAGGTCCCGGTTGAGTACCATGGTCTTCGTCAGGTCTTCAGCAGGTCTCGGGCTGGGTCTCTCCCTCCTCATCGACCATATGACTGTGCCATTGACCTCCTCCCAGGCACTTCTCCGCCCAAGGGTCGCTTGTATTCCCTTTCTGGTCCAGAGAGAGAGGCTATGGATAGGTATATTCAGGAGTCACTTAATGCCGGTCTCATCCGTCCCTCATCATCTCCTGCAGGTGCTGGGTTCTTCTTTGTTAAGAAGAGGGATGGCTCCCTGCGTCCCTGTATTGATTACAGAGGGCTAAACGACATTACGATAAAGAACAGGTACCCCTTACCTCTCATGTCGTCTGCTTTTGAGCTGTTGCAGGGAGCCCAGGTCTTCACCAAGTTAGACCTTCGTAACGCTTATCACTTGGTACGCATTCGTGAGGGAGATGAGTGGAAGACAGCCTTTAATACCCCTACGGGACACTTTGAATATCTGGTCCTACCCTTTGGTCTGACAAATGCACCAGCTGTCTTCCAGGCCCTGGTTAACGACGTGCTGAGAGACATGGTAAACAAGTTTGTCTTTGTGTACCTGGATGATATTCTCATTTTCTCATCCTCTTTACAGGAACACACTCAGCATGTGCGTCAGGTCCTCCAACGGCTACTAGAGAATCAGCTCTTTGTTAAGGCGGAGAAGTGCGAGTTCCACGCTAGGTCGGTTGCGTTCCTGGGGTATGTCATCTCGGCTGAGGGAATCCGAGCTGATCCTGATAAGGTAAGGGCCGTTGCCAAATGGCCAGTCCCCAACACCCGCAAGGCCCTGCAGCGGTTCCTGGGTTTTGCCAATTTCTATAGGCGTTTCATCAGGAACTTTAGCCAGATTGCTGCACCCTTAACGGCTCTCACCTCCACCAAGGTATTGTTCAAGTGGAATACACAAGCTCAGGAGGCCTTTGGTGCCCTTAAGTCCCGTTTCACCTCTGCTCCTGTTCTTTCTATTCCAGACCCTGAACAACAATTTATTGTTGAGGTAGATGCCTCTGAGGTTGGGGTAGGCGCGGTCCTGTCTCAGCGCTCATCCAAGGATGGGAAGGTGCATCCATGTGCCTTTTTCTCTCATCGCCTGAGCCCAGCAGAACGTAATTACGACATCGGTAACAGGGAGCTGTTGGCAGTCAGGCTGGCCTTGGGTGAGTGGCGTCACTGGCTGGAGGGTGCGGCGCACCCCTTCTTGGTCTGGACGGACCATAAGAACCTTGAGTATGTCCGTTCGGCCAAGAGGTTGAGCGCACGCCAGGCTCGCTGGGCACTCTTCTTTGGTCGGTTCAACTTCGTCCTCTCGTACCGGCCAGGGTCAAAGAATATCAAACCTGATGCCCTCTCACGACTGTTCGAGACCCCCAGTGGGGAGACCCCGGTGGAGTCCATCCTCCCTGAGGGAGTGGTTGTTGGGTCCCTCTCCTGGGGCATTGAACAGCGGGTAATAAAGGCCGGTCAAGGGATTGAAGTACCAGAGGGGTGCCCGGAGGGTCGGTTGTTTGTGCCGGTTGCGCTGCGTTCCGAGGTTCTCCGGTGGGGCCATGAGTCCAGGTTGGTTTGCCACCCAGGAATTTGGAGATCACTGGCTGCCATCCGCCAGCGATTTTGGTGGCCCTCTCTAGGGTCGGACGTCAGGCAGTTTGTGTTGGCTTGCTCGACATGTGCCCAGAACAAGACCTCTAACAAGGCTCCTGTTGGTCTGCTCCGGCCCTTGCCCATCCCTTCTCGTCCTTGGTCACACCTGGCCCTGGACTTCGTTTCTGGCCTCCCTCCCTCAAGAGGAAACACTGTCATAATGACTGTAGTGGACCGTTTTTCTAAAGCAGCCCATTTTATCCCCTTGCCCAAGCTCCCCTCAGCCAAGGAAACAGCCCAAGCTATGGTTGATCATGTCTTCCGGATTCATGGTCTTCCGGTTGATGTGGTTTCTGATAGGGGACCACAGTTTGTTTCCCGGTTTTGGAAGGAATTCTGTCGGCAGATCGGGGCCTCTACGAGTCTGTCCTCAGGTTTTCATCCT